ACATTCGCTCTCCTCTCTCCAACCCGAGGGGGGACGGGGGAGGTAGGTGCAAAAGGAGGAGGAGGAGGGAAGATGCTCTGACGCTGCCCAGCAAGGCTCCTGTGTCCAGGCTCATAAGTCTGCTGCAGGCCAAACTTTGACTTCCTTCAACTGCCAGACTGTTGCTGCAATAAAATAAAGCAGCCATTATTATACACTAGCATCATGTCCTTCCTGGGTTTTAGCACCAGCCTGTACAAATTATTCCTACTGTTTTATATGAGAGTGTATGTTAAGCCTGAATGGGCTGTATCTTTATGACAGGCAGCAAATTGCTATAATGACTGCAAAAGACATTTGGTAGTATTGATGTACACTGTGAGCTCATGGACTGTCAGCAGTTTGCTGCGTTTAGGAACTGCAGTCACCTTTCACCCTCAGAAAGAGAAGTGACATTGCATTAATCAGTGGTTCAGACTTGTGAAATGAAAAAGAAGCTGGCACTAGTCATTTTCTTTGGTTTTCACCACGGCTTTAAATTAACGGTAGGGTCAAGCTTTGCATAGCTCACAGGAAAGTGATATAAAAATAACTCTGTGAGTTTTGCGTAGGAAATCACCTAGTACAATGCCATGGACCACACTGCATTGTTCTCGACCGGATAACTTCTGCAGAAAAGCTTTGCGTCTATGTGTAACTCAGTTTGATGCTTTTTACCCACCCTCAACACATACTGATGCGCTTAGTGTTTTTGGTATCATGTAAATTGTTTAAACCCAGAAGTGTAGCTGTAGCTCATTTAGTATAAAAACTTGCAAACACAAGTCTGCAGTTTGTTTGAATGCAAGCAAAGCAACAGTGTGGTGACTTGAGGCAGACTTGTGAGCTGCATTTCTGTCCTCCAGTTCCCATTTGTGCTGCGAGTGGGAGGAATAAAAAGGACAATTGACAGCCCTGTGGTTCAAATCTGCCCTTTGGGATGCTTCTGCTCAGCAATATTTTTAACCTACGGGCACTGCTCTTGCCCCAGTGCATGCAGCCCACAGCATTTAGCTTCTAGTCCACTGCTTGAGTGGGACACACAAATTTGGGGTTGGTGTTGCTAAAACCGGTCAAGGCAACCAGCAGAGGATCCCAAACTAGCTCTAAATGTCAACTACTTTTTGCCTTCCCCCTCACTAGAGACATAGAACAGTGTGAAATGCACAGCAACAGAGCTGTTTTTAAAGGCAAAACAGCTCCACCTTTGCCCCCGACAATTTAGGATGCTCCTAAAAGAATATTTTTTCATGAAAAGCCTTTGTAAAAACAATTAAAGTTCAAGGCCATAGATGACTTCAGACATTGTTTATTAAGAACTCTTTATAGCATTTTTTTTCCAAAAACTCTATCAGTTCTTTGGAAATAATTTGTATATGAATTATCAAACAATGATTGATATGAAAGTCTGAATGGTGTCTAGCTCTGATCCTAGCTCTGATCCTGACTTTTCTGGTCAAAGCACAGAAAACAGAGGTACATGCAGTGTTCAATAAGGGAGATGTTTTCAGTCCCCCCTGCCCAGCCTGTCTGGTCTCTACACAGTGCTGCCAGGCTCAGCTTTCTGCCAGCATGGCTGGAGGGGACAGCAGAGACCAATGACGGCAAACAGTGGAAATCAGGCCCTCTCTGTCTTCTCCAATCTTATATAATATTCCATAAAATCCTTTAGATTTTTTTTTTCAAATCTCTGTGGAGATAACAGTCAGACTATCATATCAGGTGACGTAAAATGTGTGTAAATTTTCCATACTTTGGCCCAGGTGTAGTTCTTTATGGTGCTACTGCTGTGCGTGAGGGTATCCAGGAGATACGTGATGCCTCCATTTTCTGTGTTACATATTTGGCTGCTGTAATAGTCATTATTGGACAGTTTATTCATTATTATTTCTTTGTATTAGAATACTCCTTAGACACCTACAACCCTATAGAGCAAGCATTGAAAAAGTTGTCTCTCAAGGAGCTGTTGGTCAGAAATACAAGCCCAGAGATGACAGGATTACAGAGAAATAGTTGGGTCATATGAGGGCATAGGCAAGACTGTATAGGCTCAGTAGTTTTATCACTATGCTTTTATTGGCATTCTGACAAAGAGAGTTTTAAGAAGGCATTTGAAGAAGCGTTACAAAGACTTTAGAGATGTTCACAGGCATTCCTCAGAGGCATGAGGTGCAGTGTAAGGGTGAACATTTCTGCTCACCTATAGCTTATTGGAAAGTTCTCAGTGAAAAGGTTTTAATATTTGTCAGTGGCAAAGAATAGGTTAAGTCTCTCTTTAGACTCTAACCAGTGTTTAATTTTATTGAAAATTATCAAGTCAGCTTATCCTTTGTTCTGTAAGTAAAGGATGTTCCTGTTTAATATTTGAACATTACTTGATATTGTAGTGCTTTATATACAAATCAAAACTATCTTTCCTGAACATGGCAAGGATGCCAGTTACATGTCTTCTGACAAAAGACATATAACTTTGCTTTGAAAACGCTCTCCAATCTTTGCAACAAGACTATGACTAATGTCTAGATTGTCCTCATCTATTCTTTGCTTGCCTGGCTGAATACAGTTCTCAGGGTTTCTTTTCCTCTCCGTCAGAGACAGAGTATATGAATAAAAATGAATTATATTAATTGCTCTTTTAATGTCATTGGCATTCTCCACATGTGTGGTTGGAGCAACCTATTTTCTTTTTATGGTTGGTATTGAAAATTTTGGTAATTTCAGAGGAGCCATGAGAAGGAGGAGTTTTCTATTTTATCGTCAAGTCTCTATGACATATATGGGAAATTTTTGTTACTACATTTCACAGATGGTCTACTGCAATGTGGAAGGTCATCTGGGCTCTAAGTAGTTGTGTGCCCTACAAGTGAACTGTAAAAGCCCTGATGTGAACTTGTGGTGAGGATGGAGAGGAGAGGATGCTGCACAGCTGGGATTCCTGAGGTAAACCAGGAAATGCTAATGGAGAAGTTACAACCCTTTTCCCCAATTTTGCTTGTGGTAAGTGCATGCTTGCATATAAATTCAGATAATGAAAGTGGGCATAGAGCCAAGAAGTGAGCCGAGAAGTCTGTGTGCCATTGAGAGAGATGCAAGATGAATTAAAATGAAACAAAACTTAGAGAAGTTTGGAGGCTAAAGGTACATATTAACTTTTTTAGCTTTCAGAGTGAGTTGATTAGATATTCAGATTTGACACATGCAGAGAGGCTTGGTCTGCAAGTCCCAACCTGTACTCTTGATTTAGTCCTGTTTGTATAAGCAAAACAATTTTACTTCTTTCAAGAGAACTTTAAAGAAAAGTATCTGACGGGAGACTCTTGAAAACTGTGGGCACATCGTTCATACACTAATTTATCACTGCTGAGCCAACTTTGAGAAACTCTAATGTCATGAAAAAGTAAAATTAGAGTCTGTGTGTATGGAAACTCTTGCTCTCAGCTGCTTTTCTTGCAATGTTTTCTGCGCTGTGGAGTGTAAATTTCACTTTGTTTTCAGTGATCAATCAATGTAAACAAAGGCAAGCCACAGCTAAGCAGTTATATTTATTTTCCAAATTATATCCAAGGCTGTTAAGTTTAAGCCAAAAGCTTCTATGATGAGGTCTGTTTTTGTATGTGTCAGGATGAAATCTAGTTAGAGACTCAGAGTAGATAGGACATGACAAATGCACTCAGGTCAAAAACTGGTTGCAGATCTGAGAACAGATTTTAGGATTATCTGGATCTCATGTAGCCAGGCTAGGTTAGAAATAATAAAGATACTTCTAGCAGCTTCCAGCTTAGCCTCTGAGTTCTGGTATGAGAAAGGAAGAGAGAAAGTATTCCCATAAGGTCTCCTGCATTACTGTTCTGATGATTTACCAGTTTGTGCTCAAATTATCTCCAGGGTGGGGGTGAGAGGTTTCTGTTAAATACCAGCAACGGGAACTCAGTTCCTACTGTGCTTGGGGAACAGCAAAGGGGCTGGGCTGAGACATTTTTAGTTGCCTTTTTTTTTTTTTTAATTCTTTTTCTCCTATGAGTGATACTCTGGAAATGTTTTCAGTGTGTTTTCATAATTCATGACATTTCATAATTCACACTTCACTATTTTAGTTTTTTTTTAAAATTTCTTCTCACTGCCATTTATAGGCTATATCAGCAGAGCTGTTCTTAATATGTTGGCGTGTGTTACAGTGTAAAATGCAATAACTCAGTAGGACCTGAGTCTGAATGCTGAAGAAACTGTGGTCTAGAGAATAAGGGCCCAAATTGGGCCTCCTGGGGCTAGCTTGATATGTGATACATACCTCAATGTTATAGCAGTACAAGGAAGATTGCAATATATTTTCCCATGTGCTTAAACATGTTAAAGACTGCCTGGAGCTATAAGGGAGGTTAAAAGTATTTAAAACTGGTTCCTCATAACTGGGTCACCTACATGTGCAAAAGGTTTGGTAAAGACTGCGTGGAGAGCTGCTCTGCTTGGAATGGCAGCCCCTTGTGCATGGCCATGCTCCAAGTTTGCTGGGCTCGTGGAACAGAAGTGTTGATTCTAATGTTAAATGGGGTGTTCAAACAGCAGCTACAGCTGGCCACGCAGCGAAGAGAGGCATTAAACTAATGTATCACAAAGCCAGGCCCTGAATGCTGATCAAAACTTGAGGGCTTTTATTGGGAGTCCACTAGAATAAAAAAGTGGTATTGTGGAGGTGATGTGCAAACAGCACTGATGATGGTGTGATCTGTAGAAAGCAACAGGCAGTGAGTTTGCCTTGAGCATCCTACGGTTAAGCTACAGCTTCTGGTGGAAAATCTTTATAAAAGTAAAAGTCATGTTTGGTATTTTATAAATGTTCTGGGTTTAGCTGTTAAGTGACTGATGGAGAATATGTACTTTAGCTGGGATTACATCATGTTTGCTGAAGATTGTTCAATTCTCTCTTTGAAGTAATACTTTGTTAATGATCATTTTATGATTCTGTTAATTGAAGGTCCCTTCAGAATATCACTAAAGTCCTTTAGAAATTAGGTGATGGTTAGGCTGTCATTAGTAGATTACTTTTAAAAATTAAATAATTGTCAGAAGCTTTAGGGTTTTGGACTTTTAAAAAATGCTTGATACTTTTTTGGAAGGTGAAGCTACATTTTTGATTCTTATCCATTCAGCAGCTGGATCAAAAATGTCTCAGAGCAGTTTATGAAAGCGGGAATTCCATCTGGAATCTGACTTCAATGTGACAGTCACTGACTTAAGTCTAGCAAGGTAAAGTTTTCATTTCTACACTCAACTTCTGTGGTTTGCTACCACTAAGTTTTCCAGATGATTCCTGCAACTAACTTCTTAACAACTTTGTATGTTGAAGGTTTTTTGATCTTTTCATAGATTTCAGGTCTTTTCATAGTTTGGAAATGGAATACTGAGCATGTTATGCTTGAATTAGGTCATTCTCTTTAGAGTTATTTACAGTTCTTTTGCTTCTACAGAAATACTTATGATCTGATAAACTACTTATCCTAAGGGTGCATTTTTTGGTCTGGATGCAATATGTTGATGAGCCAGAAAGTCTCCAAGGGATTTAGGACATTCTCAGCCCTCTGAAGAAACAACTTTTTTTTTTTTTTAATAAAATAGAGAAGAAACAACAAAACTTTTTTTTTGATAAAATAGAGAATACAATTGTTTCACATCCTCATTCACCATAAAGGTTTAAAATACCGGATTGGGAGGACAGAAATAAATATGGGTCAGCAGTGTACAGAGCAATCTGTTTTCCTTTCCAAAGCATTGGCTATCTCTACACTTATGATCTACTACAGAGACTGGCTGACTTGCACAAAGAGTGTTTCACAAGTGCTACCTTTTTTTTTTTTTCCTAACATAGACTTTTATTTATCTTTTTATATTCTGAAGGTTTGCTCAAATCTGGACTTCTGTGGATAAATAAGTCATTAAGTAATTCTCACGCTAAAAACTTTCTCTTATAAGACTCAGTGCTACTTTGGAAAAAGTATAATTTGCCGAATACTTTTCAGCATGCAGTGTAAAAATAGCAATTTTAGAACTCCAGTAAGAGTGAGAGAAAAAGGAAGACAAATGCTCAGGTAAACAATTGGTATTTTTGCTGTTTTGAGTCAAGAAAATACACTTGTTTCCCTTCTTGAAGATGCACCTGGATTACATTCCTTCTCTATGTAAGATTTTACCAGTGTCATTTGATCTTCCTCCACAGTGTCCAATGCAACTAGTCCATTATGAAAATAATATATATATTGTCTGTCTGTCTGTCTATCTATCAACTCATGTTTTGGTCTGTCTATCTTATTGAAAAGAAGGGGGTGGGAACAGATAGACTGCTAAGTTAGTTACTCTCCGGACAGGATGTACATGATAAATCATCAAAGTCTAGCAAACGTTGATTAACCTTCAACTGGCTGCTGTCTATTTTTTTTTCCCTCCAGGCTGCTCCCTCCCAAGTCTATGTGCTCTTTCTCTCTTCAAATAACTTTCTATTAAATCCAGATGGAATAAGGAAACTCTTGCCTAAATGAGTCAGCAGCACCCAGTAGATTCAACAAAAGCTGAAAAGATTTATATGTATGCACTGCTTGCTTAAAATTTCGTTCAGCATCTGTGCCTGTGACAGCAGTGGTAGGAGACGTAGCAGAGAACAGCGACTAAATTAGGAATCAATTTATTCTCCAAAACTGTTTTGACCAGAGCTAGATGATCCTTGAATAAAGTACCAGCTACTAGTCTTCATTAATAGCAAGTAACATTGAGTTATGGAGATGAACTAGTAAGAACGAGAACAAAAAAGTTTTGAGAAACCTACGATAGACAAGTTTGGAAGGAAAAAGAAGTGTTAGTCTTAGATTATCTTTATGGATCTTTTACACATTCTATGCTTGGGAAACTACTCAGTCTACTGCAATTTTTCTGGAAGATTTGGGAACGTTCAGCTTACATTTTCTTGTCTTATTTTATTGCTGTTTCCCTTAATCATTCCTCTTTTGCCATAAAAGTCCATTTCTTTTTGCATTTGTGCTTTTCAAAGTGTAGATTTCTGTACCTCTTTAACTGTCATTGAGCCAAGGTCTTTAAAATCCATTCTATTTTAGTCACTCACAATGTCTCTCCGTCTCTCTGATCATTTTTATTTTTGCTCATTTCTGGACTCCTTCCATTTTGAATCTCGACTTTTCAGATAGTTAGCTGGCTATAATTGCATGTAAAAATCCTGGCGTACTCGCAAAGAGTAAGGTCATATATAGACAGATTTTCAACTGCTTTCTGTATGACATGAGCTTGAAACTTTTTATTTATACCTATATTGCACTCAAAATCGTGTGTTTCGTTTTTCCTGTTTATTACCACTATGGGATCTCAGACTGTATAGCTTTAAGATTTTTTGAAGTAAATGCTGGGCCTCAGCTTTTCCTATTTATGCCCACTAGAGACCTAACCACTTTATTTTGTTTAGGTTGCTTCAATTTCTATCTGGGTTTTTGCTTAGGTTTTGTGCATGTCTGTGTGTGTCTATGTTCCTGCATTCATGCTATCTATGCTCTCTACAGCTTTTTTTTTTTTCTTTTTCCCTTTGACAAATCTGTATGAAGATCCCCATTTTCCTGTGAGCAACCTGTTAGTCTTGCATGTGGTGTAGGTCAGAGCTCCAGCTTTTCCCACTGAAGCCGCTGGGAACAAGGGCAGAATCCCAGGGATTTGGATGCCAGAGTACTTGATGACCATATCGAGGCCATATATGGTAGAACAACCTCGGGAATACTCTGGCTGCCAGGCCACCCCTGGGACTTATCCCCATCCTGCCCTTTGAAGCAGTTTTCCCCCCACCAGGGGTCTGCCCACTTGCAAATCTTGCTGCCAGAGGTGGTTTGCTGGGACAGGCTCTTGGTGCCCCTCTAAGGAAGCACCTGGGGAACATCTGCCCTGGACAGAGGGGCTGTGGGGATGGCAGGAAGGGGCAGACAAAACACTGCTTCTCCCGCACTGTGTGTAGCGGGCGGCTCTTCAGCACAAGGTCCCTTCTCCCATTGCCCAGCCATGCCAGCAGCAGCATCCTCAGGCTAAGGAACCCCTACACAGTATGGATGGATGGTTTTTTGGGCTTGGAGCTGTGGCCTGGGGCAGCCCAAGAGGGAATAAGCAGGTGCCTGGCTCTCCTTGCATTAGCTCTGCAGTGCTTCCCAGTGTGGGTTAAGTGGAAGGGTGAAGGCAGAAGGGCTGCCTGCTGCTCAGCCCTGTCACCTCTCAGCTGCACTAGTAAGCAGATGAATTTCTAGACTTTGTTTTGGTGTTGATTATCTAAAATGCATACTGGGCATTGTGAACCTTTTCTTAATACCAAGTTTATTAAATAATATTGAAATATTATGCTAAAAGTATGGCAAGCCTGAGGCATTTCTTGGAATATGACTCACTGTATTTTCCATTTCAGCAGCTCCAGGTTTATTTTAGCCTGCTCACCAAGTATTTTAGATTTTTTTATTGCTTTTCATTGTGAGCTTTCTAGTTTACTTCATTTTTTTTTAGTAAAAGTGAGGCAAAACACAAGAAGAACACAGCCTTTGAGCATCTTCTGACATGAATACGGTCATCTGAACACTGAGAGCTGACATATGGGTTTTATTTTTCTCCATGTATGAACTTTGGCAAGGCATCTGTGCTTTTTGTGCTATCTCCGTGACTCATTACTATTTCATTATATAGGGAATGCAATTAAGTGATTTTATCAGGCTCACGTTTATTAATCCTATGAAGTATATCATGGAACCTATTTGCCTCTACACCTGCCCACTATGCTATATAAAACTTATTAATGTATACTGCACTGTCCTATGTCCATCACTTCTGGCTGTGTGATGAAAATTCAAAATGTTTTGGCAAAGCCTCTTGCATTCATTTTATAGTCCACATTCCGGTGTCATTGCACAAGTACCCAAATTCTCAGAAACATTTGCCCCTGTTGGCATAGCCTTTGCTCTTTACACTGATTTGTGATGAGGAAAGGTGCTCTTCAGTATGCTTGCTATGTAAAGCTATGTGAAGACTGTTTCAAATAGACTATGGCTGTTGCATGCAGTAATTTGAATGCAGCCTGCCTCTTCACATGGATTTTGAAAAAAAGCATTCAGGATTGCTCTGGAATCACCAAAAAGCCTAACTAAGGAGCCACATAAGAAGTTGCTTTCTGGTTTTCCCTTGCTCCAGTGGTGACATGTTTTGCAATAGATGATGTCAACAATATGGGTAAGGTCAGAAACTGGCCATTCCTCTTCCTACTTACTGCCTGTCCTTCCCATGGTTGGAAGCACACGACCGGTGTCCCACTGTGTTGTTGCCTGGGATGACCTGTGTCAATGCTGTGAGGAAATCTGAGGTGTAAAGTGACAGAATCCCTTGTTTTCTGCAATGAGAGCACAGGAGGCAGCATAACCTGCTCCCAATTTTTAATCAGTTGAAATGGCAGTGTGCAGCTGAGGCGCTTCACAGA